CCCGTACAAAACGCCAATTTCATATATAAGGACCTATTATTTTTTCAATTTCTCAGACATACAGTTTTCCGCACGATGTTTTCTTCACTGCTAATCAACACTTAAAATTGCATTTAACAATTTCATTAGTGCCGACGGGGATTGAACCTGGGTTGCTCGAGTGACATTTACAGAGCGCTTAACCCCTGACCTACCATGGCTTTATTATTATTTTTGATTTATTAAATAGCAATTTATTATATAGTATTAATAATTTTTATAAATACGTATTTAAATCATTTCGAGGACTTGATAGAGTAGTTCCGTACGTGTTAGTGTAGAATACACTAACACGTACGGAAGCGGTGCAGACTAGCTGCTCCAAAATACTAAACTCTCCTTTTAGAAATGAGACGATTCTTACTTTTATGACTTAATATATTCTCTGTCTGTCTATCTGTATCACTGTCCGATTTTCAGACACAATAGCAATGAACTATGTACATGTGGTACATGGAACAGCAAGAACTGAACTCCTCCCCAACGATAAAATAAATTTTATTATATCAAGATTTAGTAAGGAATTGGTAACAATTAGTAAGTAAAGAAAAAAAATTGGTTGACCCTGCAGACCACTCTGGAACTTCCTACTAATTTCAAATGCAAAGCGCTCCAAATTTCACCAAATTATGTCGCGAAATCTCGACGTTATGTTAAAAAAAGGTTTTTTTGAAATTTCTTCGATACCTCACGTTTTCACACCGTTTTTATTTTTCAAACGGCATTCGACGTCATTTTTTGAGGTTAAGAGCTGATTAGTTTTTGAAATCGATCAGTAAAGCCGTTTGAAAGTTATTACAAATAACAGTTTTTCAAAAATTTTATTCGTCGTAATCGTATATCGTATCTCAATCGATTCGAATTCGAAAATTCGAAGCCGTTCAAAAGTTATGAAAGGTTTACATGCTTATGCACGCACGCACGCACGCACGCACTCACGCACGCACGCACCACAGATTACCTCCTAATAGATTCCGCATACAGGGCCACAAACGCGCGCAACACATATTTGCTGTAGCTAGCATATGAAGTGACGCTAAGAATCACGATATCATTGTCGACCAAGTTTGTGACCCGTAAGCACGTCCGAGTTTTTGAAAATTTAAAAATAGTTTTATATCCAAAATACATCACAAATGGCTTCAGGTAAATTTTATTCTTATCACGATAACCTATTTCAAATGCACCGGAGTTCAACTTACACTGGATATATAATGTTGCAAAGTGATATCATTTGAGCACCCGTTGATGTCTTTTTGAAATGTCCTTTTCACTCAATACGTAAATTAAAATAGTTGTCTTTGTCTAACGACAGCACGTGTATCGATAGTGTTGTGATTTATAAGTCGATATTTGTTTGGTCACCGTTTACTTTTGTAGTCATTATTTTATACAAATAGTGGCATATAATTGTGGTACCTATATGTTATAGGTTTCCTAAATGCCCCAAAATGAAAAATGTGGATCGACGCTACATGTCGAGGGACCAATGGTTTACCACCAAAAATAGTGTGCTATGCTCAAGACACTTCACAGAAGACAATCTTCATATTATGAAAAACCGTAGAAGGCTGTTGGATTCCGCTATACCATCTCTATACTTGCCAGTTTTAGTGTGGACTTTTACATTTTTTTAAAAGTATAATACCAATGGTGATTACACAATAAGTAATAGCATTAAGTGGTTAATTGAAACGTGATATTCTAATATTTAGGCGAATGTTACACGTCGAAATTAAACTATTTTTAATAGATTTATAAACCATAAAACAAGTGAAAGTTATAATGTGATAATGTTATTCTAGTGTTGCATGAACTTTAGTAATATCTTATTAGTATTCCGATTATTGGCTAAGTACATCTGAATTTGAAACACGTATCATATGGTTTTTTAATTAATAATATTATTTTTAGGTGCAACACTAGGCAAAAATACTGTCACCACCAAAAGGACATACCAGAACACACACAAAGGATTCATACCATTTTGTTAGTGAGATAAAAGACCACAGTTTCATTGACATCTTGCTGACAATGAAACTGTGGTCAGTTTTGGTGTTCAGTCACTATTCACATGCCTACCTATTGAGGACTGCTTCTCAATTGTAACTGGGAAGCTACAAGTAAACAACATGCTTGCAGAATATGCAGTATTACTCAAACACTGCTTCACATCTGGCTCACATCTATTGTAGAAGGAAGAGTTCTACAAGCAAGTTGATGGTTTGGCGATGGGCTCACCTGTATTTTCTATAGTCGCCGACATATATCATGGAGGACTTTGAGGAGAAACCCTTCTTACTGCTCCTATAAATCCAAGATTCTACAAGCGATCCGTAGACGACACTTTCAAAATTTTACCTTCTGAAAAAGCAACTGCATTTTTAGATGACCTTAACTCCGTAAGTACAAATCACGATGGAGTTAGAAGCAAATAATACTTTAGCTTTCCTAGATGTTTTAGTCATCCGAAATCCTGATAACACTATTGGTCATACTATGTATAGGAAAAAGGCCTATAACACCCGATATTTAAATGGTGCATCTCACCATCATTCTTCATAGTTTGCTACTATGGGTAAATATTTGTTTCAGAGAGCACAAGGGATCTGTGACAGAATACATCTGGCCGCCGAGCTTCAGCATGTCAAGCAAGTATTGCAAGATAACAAGCTTTGGGTCCCAAGCCTACGTCACAGCGACCGAGTGAAGCCGGCCACAGTCGGTGGTTGGGTGCTGCCATCTACTTGGGATCCTATAATTAACAAAATCTATCCAAAACCAATCATACCACTGCAAGATATCAAGATACTGTAAGCTCGTTTTATGTAGATCGGGACCAAAAATTAATATATATATATATATATATATATATATATGTATATATATATATGTATATATATTATATGCATTGTTTTATTTTTTAATAAATTTCTAATAAAAATTGATCAATTCATTTATTTATCAATAATCAATAAATCCCAAATTTATCGATCAACGTCCTAACCCTGTCCCATCACTATGGTTCGGAGCATTCTAAGTTCAACCTTGAATTATCCAATCACAGCACATTTGACACGTCCCCCGCAACTCGAAATTTGGTGAAATCGAAATAGAACAAATATTCCATGATGCGGTATCTATTAGGAGGTAATCTGTGGCACGCACGCACACACACAAATACATACATCCATACGGACGTCCACGTGAAATTAGTCAGAATAGCTGCTAGCTAGCTAACGTCGAAATCTGATGAAAACTCTATTCTCGAAAATCGGGGTGAAACCAATAACTTCCTTATTTTTTGAAAATTTTAATTTTCTTAGCGGGAAGTTAAAAATAGTGTCTTAATACTTAAGAAGATATTAATTATATTATCTTATCTTAATACTTACACGTGGTAGAGCCATGCTGCAGTTATATTAGAAGTATAGTTGTAGCACGAATGGGTCGGCTCGACCGGGGAAGGACCACGCTCTCACAGAATACTAGCGTGAAATAGTAGCTTAATGCTGCTGTGTTTCGTATGGTGAGTGCAGAGAACCGGACCCTTTTTACTGGAAACGTGGCCTTCCATCTTAGTCCTCACGGGTGACAACGCATCTTCATTTTGATTGGTAATCGAGGGTAGATGTGGATGTCTATGGGCCACAGCAACCACTTACCATCAGGTGAACTGTGTGCTCGTTTGTCTAGCCCTATTCTATAAAAAAAAGACATAGAAGTTTTTTGGGTGTATTCTAGCCTGAATTCAAGTTAGGTTTCTCCCTGGGTAACGCAATTACAGTCTGATTTTGAGACGAGATTCCTATTTTAAGATTTAGGGAACGTATTGCTCCAATGGAACCACAGTTATTCGTATAACTAAGACATGGGGAGAATCCTGGCTTGAAAACTATAATATATCAGAGAATAACTTCGAAACGCCTATGCCATTTGCTGTAAAATATAGATACAAGATTTGATCACTAATTGGCGACTTATAATTAAAAAAGAACACTGTCCAAATTAATCTTAACTTAGTAAAATTGGTACACATGGTACAAATATTCTATTTTTGTTTTATTTTCCCACTCCCATAAATTGCATCAGGGGGGGATATTTGACATATTTCCTAATTGCTACCTTTAACAGGCGTGTTGTAAACCGCAGTATTTTATTATTTTATTTACTATCAGGAAGATACTGTTGCCCATCTCCTTATCTCCTGGTATCGTTGGGGAAAATTCCAGCTGAAGGACGCATTCTTAGGGATTTGATTGCATATACTAACTTATTTTATATTTCCGACGTTTCGAGTACTTTACAGCTCTCATGATCGGGGGACTGAGGTGTGAGACGTCCAAAAGTCATAGTTTACTACAGTTACCTTCTACAGTCCGATCTACGCAGAATGAATGATACCTCAGTACCTACCAGACATCTCGATCTTTGATGCTGTTCAGCGTCGCGTCCTACGGCTGGGTATTTTAAGGTCTGAGGCAAATTGACTTTCGCACCATTTTGTATCTTTATGGCGTTTTTGTTATTCATGATTATAGAAAATTTTAATAAGCGGCGACTTTTAATTTTGGATTTGTTTGTTGAACGTTTGAATGTTGGATATGCAAAAGTAAAAGTAAAATTTTACTTTATTTATATACTTTGATAATTAAATAACCTTTTGCCTTAATGGCAAGATTAGTTATTTAAGAAGAAATAAATATTGTTATGACCAATAACAGTTATTTATTATTTATTTACTTTATTTAGGCATAAGACATATATTTGCATTTTTACACTAAATAATTTCTCTCAAATTATGCGGAATGTGATGAAATTGACGATTAAATATGTACTGATTCACATTATGCTTATTATAATTAGTTAAATAAGTATTTAATTCGATTAAAAATTACGAGTTTTATTTTGTAAATAGGTAAATACAGTACAAACAATTTATCTTTAAATCGATTACTGTTTTAACAATTTTTATTCTTGCTAGGTTTGAGATGAATCAACGATGTAGTGTCAGCATAAATAATATTATTGTTACCGTCTAAAGCAACTCCAAGCGCGTCGTCCACGTCAACCACTTTCTCGACAGTGGTTGTATGTTTATTAACCCTATATATTCCATCAGGTAAACAAATATAAACCCTTCCATTCACATCAGTCGTTAGCCCTCTAACATCGTCCCCATTATTCAGACTTTTGTATAGAACTGAGTCTTTTGTATTTTTTTTCTGACTGTACAGACCGGTATCATTAGCGTAAAACATATCTTCTTCGTCATCAATAGCGAAATATGCTACTTTGGTCTCTTCTAGATCTTTAAAACGTTCTGTTTGACCATTCTTCACTGTGTACAGAAATAGCGAAGGAAACTCAGAATAGTACAACACATCCTTGAAGTATATGCTCCATATATCTGTGTCGAGTGCTGCTATCAGTTTGACTGTATTATCTGTGTTATCATATTTATAGATGCCTTTTGAGCTGCCGATGTAAAGTACGTGATTTTTTTGATCCACTGTCTGCGCGAACCCGTTCTCTACCCCGTCCAGTTCTGCGAAATCCTTCGTATAAAGATTAATCTTGGCGGTTTTGAAGATGTCATCGGTTTTCTGAAAGTTGTAGCTGAAATAAAGAACGTTAGTGCCGAAGTCTACGGCTAAAGAATACGGACGATCTAGATCTGTCTTCAAAACCTCCTTGTCGTAATAGATGCCGTCGATTGTAACTCCATCACACTTTTCATTGCTTATTGTTGCTCCGTGTATGACCACGATACAGGACAAGAATATATGGAGCTTCATTATAACCTGGAAACAACAATTTGATACTTAGTTGGCATACTTAATGTTATGAGAAAGTGTAGCTAGTTCATCTATACAAATAAATAAAATTAAAGTGTCTGTTTGTAATGGCAAAATAATAGCTTTTTCTAAATGTAACGGGTGTTTTTTTAAGAGCTTGAGAACTTCAAGTAATAATATAAGACAGAAATATTGTTGTAAAAATTTATTTATTATTATAATCTAATAGATAATTTCATGGCATTAATTTTTTAAATGTGATTTCTGTCATAATATGTCCGCCGCAGCTACGAGTTACATAGCTCATTAGATCAGTCCAGTTTTTCACTACATTTTCTAATAAATCTAACCGTATGGTGTCAATGGTAGCTTGAATATTAGCTTCCATTGCTTTAAGAGTTGCTGGTTTATCGGCATAAACCAATGATTTAACATATCCCCATAAATAGTAATCGAGAGGCGTTAAGTCACACGAACCAGGGGCTAGTTGACAGGATCACTTCTGGAAGTAAACTCGTTACTAAATTGACTTTGCAATAAATTGATGCTTAAGCGCGATGTATGGCAAGTTGCGCCACCTTGTTGGAATCAAATGTTGTCTATGTTTATCTGATAAATTTTTGGAAACAATAAATCAGTAATTATTGCTCGATATCGCTGACCATTCACCCTAACGGCAACTCCTTACTCATTTTGAAAGAAATAAGGACCGATGATGCCGCCAGCGTGTAAACCGCACCAAACAGTCAACCTTAATGGATGTAATGGTGATTCGTTAATGGTAGGGGGATTGTCTTCGCTCCATATATGGCAATTTTGCAAATTTCCACAATTTTGGAAGTCTTCAGACAGGTATTTTCCCTGATTTGTTTAAAAAGGCAATAGTTCACCCTATTTTTAAATCCGGCGATCAAAATCGTATCGAAAACTACAGACCTATATCAGTTTTGTCTACGATGTCGAAGATCCTCAAGAAAATAATTAACACAAGGCTTGTTAATTATTAGAGTAATAAACTGCTCTCTAAAAATCAATTTGGTTTTCGAAAAAAATTTTTTACATCTGATGCTGTCCACAGCCTTATTACACATACGTCAAAAATGTATTGCCTTGTTTCTTGACCTTACAAAGGCGTCTGATACTGTTTCGATACCTATCCTAATTTCAAAACTTCAATCTTTAGGAGTAAGAGGAATTCAGTTATCTTTATTCCAAATTTATTTAAGTAATAGAACTCAATATGTTAGGATTGGTCCTTATAGTAGTTCTGACCTGCAAATTACATACGGTGTACCACTGGGAAGTATTCTCGGCCCAAGTTTGTTTTTAGTATATATAAATGACTTGTGTAACATCAATCTTTTAAACGGGATGATCTTTTCCTACGCAGATGACACTGCACTTGTGTTTCATTCGAATACTTGGACTGAAACCTATTCCCTTGCTCAAAAAGGGTTTGACATTGTAAAAAATGGTTAAACGCGCATTTACTTACGTTAAACATAGATAAAACAAAATTAATAGACTTTTCTATTCGAAACACAAAAAATTCAACAACAAACTCATTACAAATCGCTGTTAAACCTCCCCTTGACATAAGAAATAGTACAGCCAATAATGATGACCTACACTGTATAAAGAAGTGACATCTATAAAATATCTTGGAATTCTAATCGATAATAACCTCACATTTAAAGCTTACATTGAACACCTGTCAAACAGAGTCCATAAACTTACCTACATTTTTAAACAATTACGTCTATCTGCAGATTCAGAAATCATGAAGATGGTTTATATGGCGTTGTGTCTATCTATTTTATCTTATTGCATATCCACGTGGGGTGGTGCGGCTAAAAGTAATGTTATACAACTTGAACGGGCACAGAGAGCTGTTTTAAAAGTATGTTGTTTTAAATCGCGTATGTTTCCTACAGACCAACTTTACGACTATTGCCAAGTACTAACAGTTAGACAATTATTCATTTTAACCGCCGCTCTCAAACAACATGCCTCAACCAAATATATCCCTGCATGGACACGACGTAACCAACTAGTTGCAAAGTCTACTCAAGTTAAAACTGCATTTAGTCATATATTCCTTGGCCCCTATTTATATAATAAATTGCATAAAAACTTATCCCTCATTTCTCGAAATCAATATGAGTGCAAAAACATTATTCTCAAGTGGCGTCTTAAGCAAACCTATGCAAAAACAGAAAGTCTTTTAAAGGTTGTCGTGTAAATAATAAATACACATACACCTACGTACATACATACATATACTACAAACACACACACACACACACACACACACAGACACAATTATTTTTTTAATTATTTATTTCAATTAGGTATGACAAATAAGGAAATAGAGTTAAACTTTATGTGTTAATGTTTTAGATATAATAGCATTCCTCGTAGAGGTGGAGACCTGGTGACCTGTAATACGGGCATCTTACCCACCATAGGCACCAGCGATCCACTGGCAAAGTTGTTTTGTACTACTTATATGCTACTTATAACTCTAAATGTAACTTTGTTTGTGGTGAGAAATTAAACGTTATAATTATTATTAATTATTAATTATTATTATTTGTTGTTCTGGTGTTAAACAACAAGAACACTGAACAAAAATTTCAACACAGTTTGACATTCTCAACTGTTAAACATGTCAAACATTGACAACAACCATCGAAATTTCTCATGCAGCTAAAAACACCCAATATATGAAAGTATATACGGTACTTATACCAAAAAACTAATTTTAAAATTTTTGTCTGTCTGTTTGTTCCGGCTAATCTCCGAAAAGGCTAGGCCGATTACGATGGGACTTTCGCTGGTAGATAGCAGCTGGCAGTAGTTAGTCATATATTTACTTGGACTACTTGAATATGAAAGTATTTAGAAAAAAACCAAAATTGTATTCTTTGATTTGATTGAAACGGAAATCCTTTTTACGGGTGAAGAGGCATTCCATCTCAGTCTTTAGTGGCGACAATGCAACTGTATTTTTATTCTTAATCAACGATAATAAGGGCGGTGTCTATGCGCCTCAGTTTCACTTACTATTAGGTGGACTGCGTTTTCGGTGGTACTCGTTTGTTATCTTTACTTCTAAAAAAAAATATAAACTTACCGATTTTATCTGTGGTCCCGCAATGAATGTGGGAAAATTACAAAAAGATGCGAATTTAAGTTCAAGATCGCTTTTGTTATTTTAAAAACCAGCGGAGTCGCCTTCACACTAAAATATTTGCTTATTTTTATTATCGTTTATTATTATATTATTTAAATTTTCATTTTGCTTGCGTTTTTAGATTAGGTGTGTTAAGCGAGCTCACAGTTTACTAAGTGAATTTTATGGCCTATAGATACCTACATCTATCCACGATTAAAAATCAAATTACAGAAGCGTTATAAACCTTAAAAATTACGATCGAATGCCTTTGCGTTTTGTACGTGGTAGAGCCACGCTATATTATGTTTGTAGCATGAATGAGTAAGCTCGACCGAAGTAGGACCACATTCTTATAGAATATCATGGTAAATCTGCGTTTGATTCTTAATTGAGGATAAATTTAGACCTTTATGGGCCACGCATCCACTCACCATCAGCTGGACTGCGTGCTGGTTTGTCACACTTATACTATAAAAAACGCCCCGTAGCCAGTAAAAATGATCACCTGTTCTTTATATTCACCATCAGAAACCCAACATCGCTAAGCATTTATTTCCATTTTATGAGACACTGGTACTCTGTGAGAGTGTTGTCCTTTGTTGATCAAGTAAACCCATTCGTGCTTAATCATAATATAGCTACAGCGTATTTTTACTTACGTTTGTTGTTCTGTAGGTTTTGTTTAACCTTTTCTATAATTAAGTAATGTAAATAGCGACAATCGCGTCATAACGCAAGAGATAAACATTAATAAAAACATAAAGTGCGGACATAACATATGTTATATGTAGGTAGTTACTTTTTACCTGACTTTACAAAGGGTTTTTATGTATTTCAAGTATACTTAAGTATGTATTTATTTTTAAGGGAATGTGTATACGTAAGAATTCATATTATATATTCAGCATATTTCCGATAACAACTAAAAATAAATAAAAAACTGCAGTTGCCAACCAGCCTGCCAAACGTGGCAACTATGACAAATATCTAAGAGAAAATCTAATTCTTTTTATGTTTATTTCATATATACAGTGTGTCTGGTCACGACCTAGCGATAACTTCAGGTTACAAAATATACCTAATTTCATCGACGAAAACACCCATATATGGGGGTCTACGCCCCCTCCTGTCGGAATGGCCGCCATTTAATTTTTTTTATTCTTGTAGATACCTCTGCCAAAAGATGCAGATTTCTCTGGACAGAAAGGTCCTACAGATGTAAAAAAAAATGTTATTTAAAAGGTAAAAATAGCATCTATCAAATAAAAATAAACATGATGAAAAGTTTTCCCTACAAAATATCTTAAAACATTTTGTAGGGAAAACGCTAATTTAAGTAAAAAATTTGACAATTTTTTTATTTTTCTTAACATACTTCAAAAACTAGCACATTGATACTAAATTTTTTAATACTGTCATAATACTTAAGGATATTACTTACAAATTGACATTAAAATTATTGTTCTTAATTGCATAACTCGAGAGTTAGGGCTGTTTGAATATGACCCTTTTGCGAGGGTCATGTATGTAGAGCCTCATATGAGCGCTATTAATTTTCGATAATGGATTAAATAAAAATACACTATAACTTATATATATATATATATATATATATATATATATATATATACATATATATATATATATATATGTATACTATATATATATATATATATATATATATATATATATATATATATATATATATATAATATGTATACATATATAATATGTTATATAGTGTGTGTGTGTGTGGTGTGTGTGTGCCTTTTTAATAACTTGACTGACCATTTCTCGGAATCTAGCGTAGCTATCGATCTTAATATATAATCATATATTAATATCCTTATTAAGATGATATTCCCTTAATAAAGATATTAATATATAATTGTGGTTGGTTAAAAAACAAAGATTTATATTGATATTTATTTAATATATATATATATATATATATATATATATATATATATATATATAATTATATTTGATACGTTACTATTCTAAAAAATACACTGAAGTCTCCATTCCATTTTCTGTTACTTTAATCTATAAGGTAAGTAAGCAAAGTTTATCTGTATACTGATTAATTATTATTGCGTGTGTGTTAGTTAACTTCAAAATAGATGTATTATATAATAACTTCGAAATTGAGTGCGCTATACTGAGATCCATCACTATATTAAGTCCCGTGGGTACCATGAGAAGCGACTTCCGGTCGATGGTGATATATCCTTGATGGATTCCTTTGCATTTTAATCGCATATACTACGGAGAGTGATCAGAGGAATTAATCGGATTAATTCCAGCTTCCAAATTTCAACTAAGCACATTGCGATAAAATTCGCGATATCATTCACCACTATGCGAGTTTTTTTAACTTATTATAAGCCGGCTAGTGCTTGAACATAGTCCCAAGTGGTGGTAAGTGGTGATGAAGTCTTAGATGCCAAATCCTATTCACTCTTGCCTTAGAGTCGCCCAGTTTGTATTCGGACGGATAGACAGACCCCAGCAAATTATTAAATTATATTATTGTTGTTGATTTTCTCGAAGATTTCTTCCTTATACGACTTCTTTGTGGAGGCGGTAACGCAAATTTATCTGTTGTTGCAAATATATTGCATATATATATATATATATATATATATATATATATATATATATATATTGTAGTAAATAATAATCGTTTACGTCAGGCTCAAAATACCCTCACCGGCGATTGTAAGCAGCGTCAAAGGTGCGATTTAAAATTGTGATCGACTGTTCGTCTGCCAAACGTGACAAAGCCAAATCTTGGCTAAAATGTGAGAAATTGACTGCCTCGTTGGTCTAGTGCTCGTAACAGTGGTGGGGCCAAAATCGGTTATTAGATTGTTGCCGCCAAAAAAAATTCTCAGTAGTAACTCTCTTTAAACTGTGGTAGTAACCCGGAGTCGGAAAGTTGGCGGTGTCTCACCCTCGTGCTTCAGAAAGTACTTAAACTCGTAGATCCTGCGCCTGCGCCCCGGTCGTGTCGGATTTACCATCCCATTGGACTGTAATCCATTCCAGCGCATATGGATTGTCACCGTTGAGACCACTTGACCGAAATTCGGTCTAGAAATGCACATGTCTATAAATGGAATTTTTCCGTGTAATGAAGGAGATGGAGAAGAAAGACTAAATAAACAACAGAACGTGGCGTTGATATTCCCGTTGGTGATATCTACACACGCGGTAGCGTGTCAATCAAAGTTCAAGTACGATACAGAATGTCGAGCGGCACCGTGTGTAATATAACACGAACCATTTGGCCCCCCTCATCACTCAAAAACTATTTCACATAAGCGTGTCAAATTTGGCTCATATTCATTATGGTAGTCTTGCGAGATACATATGTGCTCTAAATTTCGTAAACACATCTCAAACGGTTATTTAGATATTAACGTTCGAAAATCGTCATTTTTATCACTGACTGACCTATAGATCAAAACTCTAACCCTGTTCCAGATGACCTAGAAAGTTCAAATTTGGCATGCAGATAGATAATTAGGCGAATACAAAGAAATAAATCAGAAACTGGTAAATTTTTATCATTTTATTGTAATTTTGCACTTAATTGATTCTATTATGATTCTATAACTGTGATAGTGTATGTATGAATCAGCAATCGGCAATCAAAACTTATGACAGCCGGTCTGAAATATATAACGAGTTGAATATCACCCTTAATTTTTTTTAAATCCAATTCTTACCTGTTGAAGCTCAATGGAAGATTTTAGAAATGCTAAAGATTTGGTATCTGAAGGTGAGCTCGAAGAAATTATAGAAGGTTTACATGTAGACCAAAAATGTATTTTCGACAAGATATGTAAGACTTTATTAGATGAATCTAAAACTTTGAGAATATTTGTTAGTGGGACAGGCGGCACGGGAATAAGTTATTTAATCAATACAATTAAAAACTGAGTTAAGAAGGGAATGAATAAGTTAGCTGCACCCACAGATATTGCCGCTTTTAATGTAAACGGTCTAACAATACATAGGCTCCTCTACAGATGCCTGTAGAGCACGGAAACTGTCTCAAGTACACTTCTTTATCAGACCAAGTATTAAAAGCTTTGAGATGTGATTTAAAAGATGTAGTACTCTTAATAATTGATGAAGTGTCTATGATTTCCAATATAACATTAATGTATTCCTGGCTGGGATAATATCACAGCTAAATTACTACTAAGACATTTATAATATTACTCGCTGATCCTATCACACATATACATGTAATTTGAGTCTTGAAACAGGAATTTTTCCAGCAGCTTTCAAAAAAACTATTCAGACCCTCAAATATTTTCTACAGGGAAAATAAAGTTATACTATTTGTCCAAAATTATACCACGTTTGACGTTTCATGTTTTTTTTTTGCCAAAATTTTGGCGTCACGCGTCTAGTGTTTCGTTCGTTTCTATACGTTTTGATTTTTGGTTTTATTATTACTTATTTCTGTTTTATTTTTGACCTAAGAACTTAGTGTGAGTTAAAGTTTCAATATTGGTAGTTTGGTTTATATTCAGTAAGGGTAAAACGAAAAGAGCACAAAAGAAACGATACCTACATAATTGAAACTTAACAACGTATTCATAAAATATTTTGAAATTCTGTTTTCATTTCAACACACAAACTGAGATAAGCTGCTGCCGTCATCAAGCTTCTGGTAAAAATGGATAGGATAAGACTTATAAACAATGTTTACACATGTGCGATGACGAATTACGATTCGCCTAGTATTATTAAGACACTGCATACTGCACATTGTGAAATAATGGTATAGATAGGATAATTATACTACGAAATCCGATCCTGGTTACGTCGTGTTATGACGTTTGTATTATGACAGATGCGCTACTTTTTCTTGTATGAAGAAGTTATGAGTAAAATTAGTAGATGGACGTATCCTTCCTTTTGAAATCATTGGTATCATTACGTTAGCC